TCTCTCTCTCTCTCTCACACACACACACACACACACAGACACACATGATACACTCAATCCATTGTTCCAAATACTATGCAGTGCAAGAGAATTAAGTACAATCAAAAGCTCACAAAAGCAAATTTTAGAGTGTGTATTCTCTCAGACTAGTCAAAATTCTAACCTCTCAGATGACAATAAGACATCATGATTAGTTAACATGGTCTAATTAGATCTCATCAGGACTTTGGAAATGCAGACGAACAATCCAAGATGCAGTAAAAGCGATACCATAATTAGTGCAGTACGGTGTACAAGTTCTCTGTCTCATTAGTCTACACACAGGAACAAGTAACAAAAAATCACAAAACGAAGGACTCGTTCACACATGAAATATAATGAGGAGTCAGTCATGCAACTGTCAGCAGCCTGACATTCTAATGCATGTGCTTTATATGCAAAAAGTAGAACATCAAAGGTAGTTTTTCCCCACAAATTTATAATTTATTTATATAGAGATTAAAGAGTATCGTAATAAAAAATTTTGTGAGAGGAAGCAAACTAAGTACCAGATTGGAAGCTGATAAATGATAACAATAAATAAACCTCGATACTGAATTCAACTACAGCAATTGACAACAGGATCCACATCTCTCAACAACTACCCCTCAAGCCACACAAACCACTTTACAGTATACGTATACTTCACAACCAATGGACCCAGAGTCCTAACTAATTTACAGTAAAAACATGTCACCTCTTATCAACTCATACCCCCCACAGACAAATTTATCATGGTCCAGACTCTTCAAGTGAGACTTGAGCCACCAGTATTGCCTTTTAACCCTGGCTGGAGCATTCACAACAATAGCGAAATGTATAGAGACAGTGGCATCACTAGGGTCACAATTACCCCCAAACCATTTAACTCCACTTTCAGAAAATACACATAAAAAGCACAATGTGACAACTATTTACATCTGTGATTCATACTGGCACAGGAAAAGAAAAAATAACCCTGGTATTGACTCATTTTTATTATGAAACAAAATCAACTCCATTTTGTACATGATTCCGAAGCAGTTTGATTTGCTAAATAAATTGAGTATTGAGACCTCCCTGTTTAATTTCTTTCAACATTTATATAAAATAAAACAAACAAAAATTATCTTGCTATGTCCACCACGATTTCATCACATTTTTCAGTATCATCTTAAAATATCTTACAGTCTTCACTTAATTTCACCCCAACATAAAATTCAATTGCTGATTCAAGTACTATGATCGATTCTTTTACAAGAATGATATATATATAATCATTTAGTATTTACAGGCCATGCAGATCTTGCTCACATAATTTACATGATATGAGATGACATTTTCAACAACAGACTCTGAAAAGGAAAACAGTGCTCTCGTTAGATTCTTGAAGACTGTTTACTTACCAATAATGTCTGCTTTATTGCTGCTACCGCTACCCACTGGAGAACTTTTACCTCCATGTCTGTGCTGATCATTTGACACAGAGTCCTGTCTGGCAATTAAGTTTGGATTTGCAGAAGGGTTACTCCCAGCCACGACGTCAACTTTAAGTATTTCCTCATCATTTGCACCAAAGGATCCACAAATTAGACATAGAGCAATGGCAAATGAAAGCCAGTGAGAAAAACCAATCCGTGTCCAAGGTTTCAAAACATAACATAAGCGCTTCATAACACTGAAACTTGTGATGTGCACAAACGAAGCCAATTTTCCAGGAGCAGTAGAGCAAAATTTATGTTGAATTTCCAATTCGAGGAAGTGCACACACATTAAAGTAACATTTTCACCTGAAATAAAAAAGTTTCCAAAAGATTTTCTCTGAATCTTACACAACGACTGCTATCATGCATGCATGACATTTTTGTTGATGTACAAACCTGACTTGGGCTAGCTCAGGATACGAAAATCTAGCACAAAAGGCCAGCTCAATTTCTCAGAACGCTCCAGAAAATCAACTTGAACTCTATTTCTCCGAACGGTTTCCGTTCTTTAGATTAGATTTTTTGGTTTTTGCGCACATGTGTGTGTGTGTGCGAACGTGTATGTGAGTGAGTGTAAGGTGTGAATGGGTGGGGGAGGGGGAGAGAGAGAGAGAGAGAGAAAAAGAGAGAGAGAGAGAGAGAGGGGGGGGGGGGAGTGTGGGGGAGAGGAGGGATTTTTTTTAAAAAGGAGTTTCACAGAGGGCCGGCCGACAAACAACACACAAAAAAGGGAACTTTTGAGCGGGGTCTAACCCTAACTCTTGTGTATAGTTTGGTCAGTGGACCTTGTCACAATAAGTCTGCGGAACTCCTCCCTTTTTTTCTTTTTAGTTTTTTCTTTAAACAGGTGACTAAAAATGCAAAACAGGTTACTGCCAAAGTCAAGCAGTCTTATCTTCTCGCAGTACCTTTTGTCTTTGAGTAAGTCCGGGAACGTTGCCCTAATCACAATTGAAGTATGACAAAAATTTCTAGACTAGCTCTAGAAATTGAATTCGATGCAAAAAAATGCTTCTTCAGTCCTTGCAGAATGACAGAATGAAAGACGCCGCCGAACTCTCCCAATAACAAATTTATCTCGAGAACGAGAACGGAAACCGTTGGGAGAAATAGAGACGCCAAGTTAAATTTGCCTTCCTTCTCTTCTCCATAAATATTTTTTATTATAAAACAATATTTGATCTTAAAAAAGAAAGTGGCTATTCTCACCCGCCCGGAAGTTCTCGCAAGATCAACTCCTCCCCTCTTCTCTCTCTCTCTGTCTCTTTCTGAATACTGTCTATCGGTGTGGACGATCAAATTGACCAAAACAAAGTTAAAAAATGATGTTAAAACACAAAAGTAAATTAATTTGGTTGTCTACAAAGATGCTACGGCTATTTAACTTTTCGAATCGAGCCGAACTACACGGGTCGCCATTTTGTTTTGCCCGGAAATTCTCGCGCTACTCCTCTCTCTCTTTCTCTCTCTCTCCACTGCCCACAGACAAAATTGTACGCTTTTAGTAGGCTACAGTAGTTGTAATGGAACGTTTGTTCACGGCACAGAATTCTACAATTTTTCTGTTATCACAGTGTAGAATTCTGTGGTTTAGGGTGAACGCAAAATTTGGTGAACGCGCACCGGGTGAGAATAGCCACAAGACTCGCCTGCACTATTCTCACTCCGGGTGAGAATAGAGGTGGCCTGTAAATAGACCTCTACCTCCAAGAACCGTGACTCAACATCTAGACCTAGTAGTTAAACTTTCTAAACTAGGGTGGGGTGGCAGATTTCAACTTTTCGATGTTTTATTCAGATTTTAAGGTTAAAATCATGACTAGATCTAGATTCTAGATCTAGAATCTAGATCTATGTGACTATGTGTGTTGTAGTTTGTAGGCTGGGGAAGCCTAAAATACTTGTTTTCTTTAACTTAGAATCTAGTTTTTAAGTTAAGAAGTTTTCCTGGAAGCTTGTCCTGACATTATTAATTACTGAGTAGATCTAGAGAGAAGAGCACTTTTACAGTGTCGGCTGGGGTTGCGGCAGCAGTGGTGCACTCACTTTTTTATTTATATTGATGTTTTCCTTTCTTTTTGTGAAGTCAGTTTGTTGGGGCAGTGTATAGTATAGAGGCCTATTAATGCCTGACCGGCGGCGGCGTACTAAACAATCTACACTTCACTTCCCAGGTAAAGTTATGATTGATAAGAACACACTGAAAACTGTATCTAAAAAAGTAACACGTAAGCCTACCGCTCGCTCCTCGGTGGAACTTATTGATTGCTCTTTGCACTTTCACTTTCCTAAGTTCACTAACCTCTAGGCTAACTAAACCTGCTGAATTCCAGTACTATGGACCAACGGGTCACTGTAAATAAAATAATAAAGGTTACCAATAATAAAAACTTACTCTATTGTAAAACATAAGAACGTGGGAATTTGTTTCAACTAAGATAACTTTCTTCACTCAACACAAATTTACACATCTAATAGTCCTCTGCTTTCATCGGAATCAAGAATAACAAATATATATACCATTCTATCCGTTCAGCTGTTCTTCGACTTTACAACCACTCCGCTGGTCTTTACGAAGCTGAAGGCTGAAGGCCTGTAACCAACAAACCGGAAGGATTCATTTTTATCTCTCAAAGAACTTGCACTCGCCCCGTTTTCATTGGTCGTCAATATCACATGGGTCAAGATGGCTGCCCCCAGTCGTGGTGAGCTGGCGATAGATATACACTGATATTATTTTCACAATCACTAAGGCACTAAGGACTCTTTGTTCGGGAATTTACTTTATTCTGGTTTGACCTCCACTTTATTTTATAAAAATGATAATGCACATCTAGATCTAGATCTAGATCTAGATTTTTTAGATCGCTAGAGAGTATTTCTTCCCATTCATGTGTAGCCTAGGCTAGTCCAGTCAGTAGTCAGTGGTAGATCTAGATCTAGATATATCTAGATCTAGTAATCTAGTGGCAGTGGTAGGCTCGGGCCTTCCAATATTTAATAGAGAACTTCTAAATTAAGTCAGCCTGCCCTTCTCTCTATCTTTAGTGTTAGTTTTGATATCCTTCAGCCATGGCACTGACCCAAGGAACCTAGGCCTATACTGAACACTAAAAAAGTAAAAAAGACCTTGGCCTTGTTGGTTTTCCAGGGTTTTTATGCAGTTGTGATTCTTATATATAGATATAGATCTAGATCTATATCTAGATTTAGATCTAGATATAGATTTATATATGTTAAGTTTCCCATGTTTATATAAATCTTTAATTACATCATGTGGAAGATGGTGCTAACATATACTTGAATAGCACTCTCACCCAGTATCAGTAGCACAAAATATATACCGGGGGAAGATGGCTGAGTTTTGAAAATGTTTTTCTCACAAATATCATACACACACACACACACACACACACACACACACACACACACACACACACACACACACACACACACACACACACACACACACATTTCTGTCAAATTCCTACCATTTACTTAGTGTTCACTTTTTTGTTTGCTTTCCTGTTCTCAGGTGGTGGCCAGAATGATGGTTGGAATGATCCGCCTATGTTCCAGTACAAAGCAGCCAGTTCAGCTTCCCCTGCTGCTCGGACCCACCTCAACAAACGCGTCAGTTTCCCTTTGTTCTCAAACCCAGCCCCTTCCAGTCCACATGCTGAAGGTTCCAGTGGAACAGGTGTGTTCTACTTGATGGGGAAACACCCAAAGCATGTTTTATAACAACAAAGAAAATATAAATACATACATGTTATGCTCAGCAAATCACTTTTAGTAGTATTTTTATAGAGTAAACACACCAAAACACACTGAGCAGAGGAATAATAATCTTATTTTTTACTGAGTTCAGAGACTAATGTGTTCAGCATTTTGTTAGCTTTTTTTTGCAGGCATTCCTTTTGTTGCTTTTATTGTTGTTCATTGCTCAACTTTCAGTATTAGTATCACTGTACTTTTACTTTTTGCACACCTTACACACATTCTGTTTTCTGCTAGTACTGCTTTGGTATTTGTTTGACTGCTTTTACAATATTGAAAAAAGTGCATTTTGTTTATAGACAGGTTTAGATATTAAAGTTTAATGGTGAATGAGGTGAACAACAAAAGAAAAACTGTAACAATTTTTGCAGTGAGACCAGAGGTTACTCTTTGCAGGATTTTTGTTTTGGAAATTAAGTTCTTTTTTCAATTGTTATGAGGCCATAGCAGGCAAGTTCCAGAGCATCATTCTGGCTGACAGAACTATGAGTGTTTGTCTGTGTAACATTCCTTCTTGAAATTCAGTTAATCCACCACCAGCTTTAGGGCAGTTTGCTAGCTTGACTTACTCACAGAAATTTAAAGTAAGTGGTTGGCAGGTGTTCTAGTGTGGTTTGCTCCTTCTTTTCTATCAAATACTCATCGTCCTTAACTGTCCTCCTTTTTTGTGTTTGTTACTTTCATGTAACACCTCTAATCTTCGGCAGTTATAAGACCTGACCATTTTGAAAGTGCCACAAAACTTGTACTAAAACTAAAACGAAGTTTGGAGTTTTGAATCAAAGAGGGTCCCCAAGTTTTTTTTTCTTTCTTTCTAGAATATTTTTTTTCCTGGTATTCTGTGAGGGTATCAGATGCTCTTCTTTCAAAGTGTTTCATTCCGTGTGTTGGGAGACCAAACTCTTAAGTGACTACTTCCCTAACTCCTGTCTTTTTTGTGTGGTTTGCTTCTTCTTTCTTATCAAACAGGTATTGTCCATATCTCACCTCCTTGTTTTCTTTGTATATTACGATTTAAGTAATAATGCCTGTTATCTTCTGCACATTGATAGTGTTGCAAGTTCCGTTAAACTCTTACTAAACATGTATGTTGCTGTCCAGTAGCACCTGTAATTTATGACACAAGTATTATGTGAACTAAATGAGTTGCAAGTGCCATTTTAAGAAAACTCTTACTAAAACTAAAATTTGTTGTTTTTTTGTCCGGTTTGTTGTCTAGGGGTGCTTCTCAGCCCAAAGGACGGCCCCCCTCGGCTGCCCCCTGTCCAGATCCTGCCTCCCACAACCTCCACATCTGTGCACCCCCCAGTGCCTGTTCTGGTGCCCTGCATGAGTCCTCCGATCGACCCCAGTGCCCTGCCTCCTTCATTCGCGTCCGCAGGTCGCGACCCCCAGTTGTCTGAAACGTTGCCAGAGTTGCTGCAGCGGTTAGAGTTGGACTCGGCTGACTCCCTGAGGAAATATACAAAGAAAGTCCTGCATGAAACACTTGATGCCCTTCAGGATACCATTCAGGTATTTATATGTAAAGATGAATATGTGTACAGGAGGGTGTCTTTTGAGATTTGAATAATGAGATAAAGAATTAATTTTTTACATGTTAGATTCTGAGAAGCACTGTGTCATTTTCTGTGTGTGTCATTAAAATTGCCAATTGATTCTATTGGTACTGCTTTATAAATGTAAGAGTTGACATATGTGCTATATTCTTTCTGTATTCTGTAATGTTCTTTCTTGTGGCTTTTGTTACTTGTGTGTTAGAAGGGTAGTTGGAACACAGCTCCTTTCTACTTTTGTTTTTTTGTTGTTGTTTTTTTAGACTTGGGGGGCAGAGGACACTGTTTATTAAAATGTCCGTTATAAATGCTTTGCTGGTTTACTTTTTTAAAATAACACTCTGTATTAGAAGTGCTGGTAGGTAAATGACTCCAGCTTTGCATTTTATGACTAGCATTGTTCATTTTATTACTGCCCTCTCTTTAACACTCTTGAAATACTTCAAATGAAACAGATGTAGGGGGGGGGGGGGCTCCAGTGGTCAGATAGTTACTCGGCGACATGTTTACAGAGAATGTCAGTGCAACAGCTGTGAGGTGTGGGGTCAAAAGGGTGTGTCACTGAGCAAAACACAGTATGCTTAGTTAAGAACCAGGACTCTTGATTGCCATGACTAGCGCCAGTGTTCTTTTGTTTAAAATTTTAGTAGCATGCTATATTCATTGTTATACATTTCACCATGGGACAAAGATGCCTGTAAGGTGTTGAAGGGTGCTCTGGTGTGGTTATTCTCCATCTTTCTCATCGAACATCTATCCTCTTTATCTCTCCTCTTTCTTTTCTTTGTATATTTGTATATTGTAATCCAGTAACACCCAATCTTCGGGACTTTTATATGACTCGATTGTGTTGCATTCTTACTTAAACAAAAAAACAAAAACAATGATACCTAACTGTGTAAATAGTGTTTTGTGTTTAAATTATATTGGAATTCTGTTTTATCACAGGGTAGATCTCGGGAAGACGTGCAGACTCGCCTGGGCCTGTTAGATGATCAATGGAGGGATGGGAAACTGTCTGAGCCAGCCAAGGTCAAGCTGGGCTGTCTCGCCACAGGTTTGTCCCCTCTGTTGTGTCTGAGGAAAGGTGTGAATTACTTTTCAGGAAACGTGTCAATTGCTTTTCAGGAAAGGGGTGAAATGCTTTTCAGGAAAGGAGTGAAATGCTTTTCAGCAAAGGTGTCGATTGGTTTTCAAGAAAGATGGGAATCTCGTTTCAGGAAAGGTGGGAGTTGTTTGTCAGGAACAGTGCTTGCCCGTAGTGTACGGATTAGATCAGTAAATTATGTTTGGATCATTTTGTTCCAGCAAAAGAAGAGCTAAAAGGGAAGAGCTAAAAGGAAAAAGCTGTATGTCTCATTAATCTAGTCTTTGGTTTCTGTCAGTGATTTGTGGGATGCAGAAACTGTATTGCCTTCGTTTAGCCATGTGGTGGAAAATACTGTTTCATGTATTCACAACTGACCTTTCAACCAATGGCCAATTGGTGTATATGTCATGGGACTAGATTTCGTTGGTTAATGCCCTTTAGAGTAAATTTTCCAGGAGTAGCAAAAAGCTGATTTGCTGCTGTTTCATCACGCAGCAACCTGGCAGCCAACGGGTTGGTCGAATTTATCTCTGACGTTTTAGAAGCATTTGTAGTTTAAGTTCAGATTTGGCCTTGCTGAGTATAGGAAATGAATAATTTACTATCGAATCTTCAAATAAAAACATGTTGATATTTTGGGCGGGGGATATCCTGTCTTATCACAAAGGTAACATGAAAAATCAGATACCTAGAAATTAATTGCCATGTGCACACGTTTGACTGGTTTGAGCGTGTCTCCAGTAATTTATTTCTTTACCATCCATCAGTTGTTTTTATCTGTAGTGCTATATTCCCAGCCCTAGATAACCACCATTATGTTGATGTGCTTTTCTTTCTTTTGTTCAGACAAATAAGCAATTGTAGGCACAAATGTGAACCGCTTTGAGGAAACCAGGAATATGTTGCTAAACTGCGAACCGAGATATCGGAAAAAATAGTCGCTGTAGTCAGTTCTGGTCGATTTTGAGTTATACGTACCAGGGGATTCCCCAACCATTTAAGTAAACAATTCATTTTTTTTTTCATTTTGCATTCAGATGTTCAAAAGCTATAATGGTGTAACTTTAAACACATTTTTCTCAGTTCTTACTTTCCCCCATTTTGTTACTTTAAAATACATTATCTCACCTTTTTGAAAAGATAATTGAAAAATTTATTGTGCCTAATAATCAGGAAGATCACAGCTGTCAGAAAAGCACAAAAACTCACAAATGTCCCAAGAGGCGACATATTCCTGATTTCCTCAGACCGACTCACAAAAGATCTAATACGTCCATAAACACAATTCTGCTGTACACATCTATCTGTTTTATGTGCCGCATAACCCCTGTTTATTTGCTTTTCTCCTCCAGCTGTGAAAAAGGAAGATTTGAAGAAAGCAGACAGCTTACACCTGGCCCTCATGGTGGATCACATTACTGAGGTAGGGAACCACAAGTCTAATATATGCCGAAATAAGACTGCTGTTGCACAAGATTGGTTTTTACTCTAAGATATAAACAGTGTTAGTGAAAGATATATATATATAAATTGCTGTTTTTAAAACTGAATTTTTACTCTAGACATTTTTAGATGCTTCAATCATTTCGACTCACAAAGCAAAATCAAGCCATGCTATGAACTATTGTGAAAAAAAACATCTTGTGTCCTGCATGCTCATATGACCGTGTGCAGTTGCAAGCACCGTAAAACACTTACCAAACTGCTATTGTGAAGACCCACATTTATCTCTGGCTCCTTCCTCTTGCAGTGACAACTGTCATCCTTTTCTTTCCTCTTTCTTTTTTGTGTTTGTCACTCCTTTGTAACGCTTTCCAATCTTCGGAACTTATATGACCTAATTGTGTTGCAAGTGCTTTAAAATGCTTACCAAAACAAAAAACAAAGGATATAAATTGGATTCCCAAGATGATTTATTAATGCCAGAATGTACATGATACAGCCCTAGTTCACTCTGACAGCGTGTAGTTGGCGGATGCTTTCGTGTGGTTTACTCCTTCTTACATATCAAACATCTATCACCCTGATCTCTTTCCTTTTTTAAAAATGTTTGTTACTTTTTTGTAACACCTCAACTATATGACCTTATTGTGTTGCAAGTGCCATAAAACATTTGATAAAACAATACCACCCTTGGTCTCTCCTTTACGTTCTTTTGGATCCTTGTGGATTCTATGTTTCGGTTGAGTGCTTCTACATTGCTGACGTGGTTGAGGACCATGTGCTTTTAGTTTTTTAAAGTTTTAGTAAGAGCTTTACGACACTTGCAACACATTAGGGTCAAATAAGTGCAAAGGTTAGAGGGGTTACAAGAGAGTAACAAACACCAAAAAAAGAAGGAGGAGAGATAAGGACGATAGATGTTTGATAGAAAAGAAGGAGCAAACCACACCAGAGCACCCACCGATCACCCCTAAACCGTGTGCAACAGCTGTTTCTGTGCTTCTCCAGGTGAGTCAGTGGATGGTGGGGGTCAAGAGAATCATCAACGACCTCAAGCTATCCCGAGCCCGACGGCCACCCGTAGCCGTTCCACAGCCGGGGGCCACCGAGGCAGTGGGTACGGCAGACGCAAAAGAGGGTTCAGAAGCTGGGTCTGCCGATGTGTGCCTTAACACGGAAAAGTTCTCCGGCCTGGAGCCCGTTCTCATGCCCGAGATGTTAGTGCCGGAAAGTCAGGGGTCTTCAACGTTCGAACTGCAGCAGGGAACCTCAGCAGAGCCCTCTACCGGGGAGAGTTGATACACATGTCTTTGTTCTTTTTAACCCGCATGCATGTTTCCAAAGTCTGTTTATTCTAAGGTGAGTCATGTCTGCTATTTTTCAACCAACTGTGACACAGTGACAGTGATGAACCGTAAAATATTACACTTCGACACATAAATGCTATTGTGTAATAGAATTAATTGCAGGTGAAAAAAAAATTATTTATATCACAGAATGCCAGAGTGTCAGATATGATTCAATTTAATTGAATTAAATTTTTTTCTTTTAAAAGAAATTAGTTTTTTGGTTTTTTTAAAATCGTGAATCCGTGTCACCTGGCAATGCAAGCTGAGTGACTCACCTTAGAAAAAGCAGGATGTTTGTTGTTGTCGGCCACTCCGTCCGGGGTGTGTTCTGCTGGTCACGACACCAAGAGCTGTCTTTGCTTTGAAGCTGTCTGTCTGTGTGTGGCACACTGTCCCAGTGCTTGAGGTCACTTGTGTTTCTGTCTTTTCGTGCTTGTTTGGGATTTTGGGTGAAGCACAGCGCTTAACACATGTTAACCGCTGAGGCGGTTCTAAGAGAGAAGTAGGTCAAGAAATGACTTTTAGGCTTAGGTTGGTGGGTGCTCTGGTGTGGTTTGCTTCTTCTTTCCTATCAAACATCTATCGTCTTTATCACCCCTCCTTTTTTATGTTTGTTACTCTCTTGTAACACCTCTAATCTTCGGCACTTATATGACCTTATTGTGTTGCAAGTGCCGTAAAACACTTACTAAAGCTAAGACTTAGGTTGTTTTCTTCTTCATCCTCGGGTATTGAATCAGATTCTTAGATGATGCCAACTGACTATTATTTGATGGAACAAGAACAACTACATACTTATATATGCTCCTCTTAAGTTCTTTTTTGAGTCAAAGGTAGCATGTAGTCTGTCATCGAGAGGTATAAACTTTTATTGCCTTCTGAATTATGACGAATGAAAATAGAGATATATATGAAAATATTAATGTTACGATCGTAACCTATTCTGCTAACATGTATGAACCATTTTCTTCATAATAATGCTGTTGAGAGTATGCAGCTGCCTATCATGACAAATTATGTTACCAAGAGCGGATGTTTACACATATTCTAACAGGAAGCTGATTTGCATATATTTACTTGGACCTTTTTACTTTTTTCCCCTTACTTATTAATGTAAGCTGCTCATAATTTTGCTAAAACCCTGAAAAGATTACCCCTCTGCTTCTATGTATTGTTCCCTTTAATGTACCAATCTACTAACACTAACGTGATTGGAGTGTGAGAAATGTGGGCGAGTGCAGGTTCATTCGTAGGGTGCACAACTGTTAATGAGTGCGACTGTAACTTTTATTATTTTCATATGTCAAGATGCGTCTTGATTTATTGTTGGCTTACATATAATATATTATGTTTACGACATTTTACACACTTGTCGGTGATATGTCATGTTTGCTTTTTAGAAAAAAATGTTGACTTGCTTGTGTTTCTGTGTGACTGTGTGCATGTTTTCATTGTGCAAATAGGATGTTTGCTTTTGTAATAACCATATTTCACATTGTGTATTTTTCTATATTATACGTGTGTGTAGGAGGAACAAGTTTTTGAACACCAAAAATCAGAATAACATAATACACTCCCCCCCCCCCCCCCCCCCCCCCCACCCACCCAAAGTAATTGTTAAAACTTCAAGGCAACAAGGCTCATACCTCATACAGGGCTGAGACATCAGTGTATGAGATCTACTGGCATTGAAGTTATGAAAGGGGCAGCTATTTTAATTAACTGAAGTCCGACATTTAAGTAGCGGGGTTTCTTGTAATTCGAATTGAAATAAGTTCCGTTGTCCCTTCCTGAAAAAATGTCAAGAATGTCTTGTGTATTTTGTTGTGTTTTATTATTTTCTTATTCTGTTTTATTATTCTCTTGTTCTGGGAGAAGAAGTCAGGCAGTAAATGAGAAGTTAGCGGAACTAGTGGGTTAAGTAAGTGAGAATAGATTACGCCTCGTTGTAATGGAGGAAAAAAAGCAGCAGAAAATTATACTTCCTTTTTTAGTTTCAACATCTTGTCACTTTGGAAAGGTATCAAGCAAAGGATGTATATATATATATAATATCTTCAACTCAGTGTCTAGAACACATGAACTCTAGTTGTTCAGTTTTCTCATGAAGAAAAAAGTTGCTGGGAAAGGTTTGTTTTAGTTCCCAGAGAAAAAAAAAGCCATATTTTCTGCTATTTTAGTATCTCAGGTCTCTTTTAAAAGTTAAAAAAAATATTTAATTAAAGCTTCTGAAAGGCAGTATGTGGGCATGCTTATGTCAGCCACTGATGCTACTAAAATTAGCTTGCAGTCAAAATGGAGGAAAGAAAGTAAATAAGTATTTGGAAAGCAATACCAGAGGGAAACTTTTCCAGTGTGTTTATGTCGCTGTTCACTTTTAAGTATGAATAATTGTGCTTAATCGCCACTAAATTTCAGTCCCAAATACAGAATTATAGTCATGATAATGTAATTTAATAGTTTGTTATGATTTGACATTTCAAGTGATATTATTCTTTTGTTTCAATATAATCCACCCCAGTGATTCTAGTCAAGGTTTAGGCCTCTTGTGAATAAGACCGGTTTCTCACTGTATGGGGATTTTCTTTAAACCTTTTTTAAAATTTTTTATTGATAAAGTAAATTTTAGACGAATATGGATTTAGTACATTGTAAAACATTGTGAAATTCAGTAGACTTTACCCTTACACAGGTTCTCCCCATTTAGTGGTGATCCTTGAAATGTAAGTCATTGTCTCCTCTTGTTGGTGGGCGGCAGGTGCTCTGGTGTGGTTTACTCCTTCTTTCTTCATCTGTCGTCTTTATCTGTCCTCCATATGTATGTTACTGTATGAGGGGCTGAGATGCAAAACCTGCTTCATCCATTTTAGCACTTTTGAGATAATCAGCTTTTTTTTAAATGCTGCTATACACACGAACATGCGTAAAAAGATTATTTTTTGGGGCTTTTGTGAAGCATGTGTTGGGTTTTGGCCAAAAACACATTATGCATCCGATAGTCGATCACTGTGCACTCATAAGCGAAAAAATCTTGATTTTTTTCCCCAAATGTCGCTTACCAGGTTTTGCATCTCACCCCCTCATATATAAAGTAAATCCTCTAATCTTTGGCACTTATATGACCTAATTGTGTCGCAAGTGCCATCTGAAAACTCTTACTGAAAAAACTGTCTCCTTTTGTTTTCTTTTGTGGGTGACGTCAGTGCTTCACAGCTGAGACCTTTGAGAGAATTGTCCTATTTATTGGGTATGTTTGATCACACTATTTATTCTTTGTGTTTGTGTCGTTGGACTCTTTATGGATGGTTGGTGGGAGTTCTGATGCTGTCCTCTCAGTCCAGCTTCTTTTCTGCCCTTTTGTAGTACCCAAATCTGTTCCAATGGGAGTAGGTGGGGTGGTTAGGGGATGTCAGTTTTGTCAGTTTTAAGTCCTACTTCATTACTTTACCTCTATTATTTCTGTCTGTCTGTCTGTCTGGGTGGGTGCTCTGGTGTGGTTTACTCCTTCTTTCCTATCAAACATATATCGTCTAAATCTCTCCTCATTCTTTTTTGTATTTGTTACTCTTTTGTAACTCCTCTAATCTTCGGCACTTATATGACCTTATTGTGTTACAAGTGCCGTAAAACTCTTACTAAAACTAAAACTGTCTGTCTGTCTTACTTTTTTCACAGCTGGTTTCCTCGATTTCATTATAATTTTGACCTGATTTCACGACTACACGACACATGTGGTTCTGATGTTGTCTTACCAAAACTTGAAGCTAATCAACAAAGCTACTTTTTGGTGGTGGAGAAAAATATATTATGTTCTGGAAAAAATGTTGTGTCCTGTTATGTGTTATGTAGCTTGGGTGCCACGAACGCAAGATTTAGTACGCTGTGAGGTTTATGATCACTCAGTATATTATGTGTCGACTATTTTTTACATTTTCTGGAATTGTTTTGGGGGTTGACCCACACACACACAGGCTCACAGGTGATACATGATGTTCCTTTTCCAGGAATTGAGAGCCTGGTTGTAGCTTTTTTTGTCCATTGAGATTGTGTGAGTACACATATCGACTGCTCAGTGGAAGGAGACTCCGTTATACGTCTCTTTTCAAAATGGCATATCGTAACTGTTTCAAGCAATCTACTCACTTCCAAATTTTGAGAATTTTCGATGTTTGCACCTTTCAGCATCACCGAAATGCAGTTTTATGGTCGAGGCTTACAATTTTCTTGCTTTTCATGATTCCTGATAGGAACAACACAACAGAAATTAAAGGGTTTTTTGTCTCTGGTGGGGAAAAGTGTCAAAACGGAGTTAATTGCAATGCTTGTGATACTGACAATACGGTGGTGTCTTGACGCCAAGCAGTCGATGTGTCTTTGGGCACGTGTTGTGTCAGACAACATGGCACAGCAGTGACCCCCTGTGTACGTGTGGTGTTTTTTAGTGCAATGTGTTTTGATGAAATGTTGGTGATTTTTCCCTTGTGATATTGTGTGATGGTAGAGGAAATCCTCCGCATTTATTCTTGAGAAAGGTTGGGATTTTTTAATGAAGTTTTTCTTATTTGATATGATAGATCTATGTCTCGGGGAATTCCTTAGATCTAGTTGTGCGGGGGGGGTAGTTTTTACTTTTTTGTGTTGTGTGGAAATTACTTGGGTAATTAGTTGAAAATCATTATGTTTGATGAATGCATGAACTATGAAGAAATTCTATCATCTGTGTATAAATTTCGATAAATAATTATTATGGTTTTCAAATGTATGCAATAAGTAGATCGGGCATATTTCCCTACCAGAAGAAAATGTTTTTGCTTATTAAAAACTTTTCTGAACTGAAATTTCTCAGCTTCTTTGTTATTCTTTATATTTTTTTTGCCCGTGTGGATATTTCAGGTTATCTTTTGGAACCCATTTTTGGCGAAATCAATCATTGTTCTGATAACTTGTTATGAACTGCTGCTCGACATTTCCTTCTTTACAATACCAGTTTTCAAGAATAAAGTTACATTACAGTAGCCTCCCTTGGCTTCTGGGGCTTTGGCTCCCACTTCTTCTTTTCAGTGTTGGTGTTATCTTAGTCAGTTGATTGTGAAATGTGGCACTCACTACTCTGGTTTGCTGACTATAACAACTACTTCTATTACTAGTGTGGCAGGGGGTTGGAGGGTGCTACTGGTAGGTATTAGGTCACTGCATTAAATGCATGGAGTGAGCACATTATAGTTAAGTTACTAAAAGCTAATGAGCAATAAGAAGGAAAAGTGTGTGTTGGTAGGAGGGTGCCCTGGTAGGTCCTATTTCCTTTACTTCTAAAATGTTATTTCTGTCTGTCTTACTTTACTTTTTCCCAGCTCTAAATGACCATTATTGTGTTAATGTGCCTTTCTTTTAGTTTTAGTTTTAGTAGAGGTTTTACAGCGCTCGCAACTGCGTAAGGTCATATGAGCGCCAGAAGATTAGAGGTGTTACAAGAGAGTAACAAACATAAAAAAGAAGGAGGGGAGAAAAGGACGATAGGTGTTTGATAAGAAAGAAGAAGCAAACCACGCCAGAGCTCCCGCCAACCACCCACTTGTGCCTTTCTACTCAAACGAATAAATAAAACTACTTATGTATTCAACTTTTTCTCCACTGTGCGGGTGGTTGACAGGTGCTCTCGTGTGGTTTGTTCTTCCTGTCCAATCTAACATCCACCATCGTTATCTCTCCTCCTTTCTTCTGTGTATGTTACTCTTTAGTAATACCATTAATTTTCAGCACTTATATGACCTTATTGTGTTGCAAGTGCCATAAAAGTTAACTTTAAAAAACTCATTGTGTTGTTTGCCAATTCTTGTTAATTACTTGGTTCTACTACCGACATCTAACATCAACACAGTGCTCATATTTAGGTAACATTTTTAAGCAGTTTAGAAAATACATGTAATATTTAGGCCTAATGTAATCACAAAAAGTTTTTGGAGATGACCAAAGCACCAATTTAAGTTAAATTTGCTTTATTTACACAGTGATAATGCTTAAAAATCTTCTTTTTTTTTCCTATCAAAAGACATTTGTCTTTCTCTTAGGCCATATCAAATATATATTTACTGATATAATCCCCCCCCCCCCCCCCCCCCCCAAATAAATAAAAGGTTTCAAACGTTTAAGAAAAATTACAACTGATTTGATCTTCTCAATCTTTATGAACAACGGTTCAGAATATGAACGGTCAAATAGTTATTAAGTACTTGGGACTTCTCTCGCCTAAATACCTTACTGACCCAGACTTGGCAGCACTTAGTACTCTTACATAGCTCAGCCACATTGAGCCTGAGAAAGGTAGCAAAATGAGATCTTCAGTAGGGCTTGAAGATGCTCATCAGTAAATTTAGATCTGGACTTAGACTTTGACTTAGTGGGTGGTTGGCAGTTGCTCTGGTGTGGTTTGCTCCTTCTTTCCTATCAAGCGTCTATCGTCCTTATCTCTTCATTTTTTTTTTTACTCTCTTGTAACACTTCTCATTTTTGGCACTTATATGAACTAATTGTGTTGCAAGTGCCGTAAAATATTTACTAAAACAAAAACAGCATCCCTTTCCTGAGGGAGACTCCAGGGTGGATCTATTTTCCTTATGCACTCTGTGGCTACTAGCGTTTTGAGATTGCAGGACTACGTTCTTCCCCTTTCTGGCAAAAAACTTGATTTCAGTTCCCACATAGTGAAGATAAGATGGGCGTCTAGTGTCTGGTGGAACAGTTAGGGGATTCGTTGTCGCACGCAGAAGACCCGAGTTCAATTCACAGGTGCTGAGCAAATTTTATCAGTATCTTGGTCTTTCTGCTGCGATGTTGTATCCCTATCAGCCTGGGTTGGTCGGGACAGGCAAGGTTGGAAAGCCCCCCTCCTAAATGATCTAAACTGTGTAGATGGAATAAAAACACCCACATTTTAAAAAAAAGTGTTTTTTGGCGGGTTTGAGATTCCAGATCTAAGGAATGCTATATATTATAGTGGAACAATTTCATCTTGCCCATGCAAAATATTAGTATGGTGACAATACCCGATGCAAACTGAATTTTCAAGAAAACATCAGTTAAAACACCGAACCAACTGTACCTCAACAAATAACAGACACAAAGAGATTGCAGGCTTTTTATACAATATTTATTGTCAAGAAAAAATACCAAATGGAATACAATACTGTGACATGAAAAAGCTAAGCGCATTATACATTTGTGCCAATGTGACAAAAAATGCTTCTGCACATGGAATATATAAATGTAAGAAAAGTTTTGATAACATTATCATCATCAGATGACTTGCCTCATGCCATATGGCATTGTACATGTAGCTCATTCAGAATGTCAGATACAAACATATTACTTGAAAGTACACACACAATACTGAATGAAAACAAAAGTCTGATTGAATCAGTCACATGTATATATATCATAATAAAAAATCTTCTTTTGTAACCCAAAGACATGCACAAATCTGACAAATAGGTAAAAGTATTGGAATGAATATTTGCTGAGAGTACATTATAACTTGTGTAATGTAGCAATGATTGTAGTGTGTTGAGACAGAGTCAAAATTAAGAATTAAGTAGAAAAGAAACGGTCACTTGGTGACGGTCATTTTGATCTTGGAATCCGAAAAGAAGGCAAAAAAGATAGAAACAATGAGTGGGAGAGTAAAGAAATTGTTCTCTTATTTGGTATCCTTTATGTGTTTGAGATAAAGAGAAGCCCGTGACCTTGGTCAAAGATATTGAATGATGAAAAAAGCTCGACAGACAGGAGCAAGCAAAGGGAAGTAGAGATGAGGAACTTGCCAGAAAAATCAAACACAGAAATTCCTTCTAAGCACCAGCATTGTGTGCAGAATTTTTTTGGGGTTTTACATCAATGTTATACATAACATGTTTTTGTAGTTCAGATGTACATTTTAAAACATACGCATGAATTAGGATTATGTAACTTCTGTTGGCATCTCAAAATATCAAGTCTACACATTCTAGTCAAAGTAAATCATCAATGTCAAAAAGTTCAGTCAGTACCCAAAGCATGAAATTATAATAATAACGCAGAGATACTTTACACTAGTTCTCAATATACATTGAGTATCATTTTATTCAGCAACTTTCGTCCGCATTTTGATAATTTCCCAGGGGATACAAAACAAACTCTAGTCAAGAAAAAATCTGTTTCATAGTGTGTTATGACAAACACTATGGTTGAAAAGCATGTATTTTAAAAAAAATGTTTTATTAAGTTGTGGAAAAATATAGCATATAATATCATCCAAATTAATTTGGAATACATGGACACCAATTTAACTTTTAAGCAGAGAGTCTACAAAAGCACCAGTGGAAATACTTATCCACATAAAACCACTGCTCCAAACTATCCTTCTTCCTCCATTACTTCATTCAAGCTGACTGACAACTTTAAGACTCGCTGAGCTTTTGAGCCTTCGCAGCTGCTTTCATTTCCTTCTTGGCGGCCTTCATATCCCTCTTGAACTTTTTCTTCTGCATCTTCACCATCATGTGACTGAGCACGTGGTACAGGCGGGGAGGCAACTCCAAATCGTCATCGGCTCCGTCTACGGGCGTCTTCCCATCCCAGTTGTACAGCTCGGTCTTGGCGAAACGGCGGAATCCATGTTTACCAAGCTGTTCGGGGAAGAAAAACAAAACGAACGATTATTACAAACTGAACCAGGACGTTTAGGGGAAAAACAAAACAAACAATTAATCACAAACTGAACTGTCTATTGTGGCTGCAGATTGTGAGTGGCTTTTTTTTTTTTCATTTTTCTTCTTTTTTTTTTTTAAGAAGGTCCTTTTACACCTCCATTAACACAATTTAGGTCATTTACGAAGTAAGCTTCCATCTTGCCTGCCAGGCCCAACCCAGGTAAGAGGGATACAACATCCCAGCAGATAGACTGAGATACTCAATAAAACTTCCCCCCACTCAGGAATTGAACTCTGGTCTCCTGCATGCAACGGCAAAGTGCCTACTAACCACACCACAGACACCAGTGTACCGTATGTAGCTTACTGAGACAACATTCAAACTAGTGTTTATTAGTATGACAATGTGGCTTATCAAAATACAGGGATCAAGCCAGTGTCATGCAATGTGTGGATTATTAACACAAGGTACAGGTAAGCCAGTGTTTGGCAGAATGTTGCTTACTGACAGAGTTGAGCCATTTTCAAGTAACATGTGGCCTATCCCAACGTTAAGCTAGTGTCCAGTATCATGTGGCTTTATAACAACACTGATCATACATGGATATTGTTTACAAAGGCACACCATTAGCTGGGTTGATATCATGTGGAGTATAGAGCAGCCGGGTGGCTCTGGTTTGAATCCCAAACTGGGCGTTCTTGAACTCTGGTCGTTTTCTGAAGTTTTCATGGCTCTCAACCCAACCAAACTGGCTCAGTCCTATCTATCGGAGACTGACGTTAAATTCCGAGGTTCTGCCTCTTAAATAAGCCAATAGTATAGTGTTGATGGAGCGTTAAAATACCCATACACTCACATATACAATTGTTTGCAAAAAACATAGCAGACTTTAAAAGTGGGTGGTTGGGGGGTGCTCTGGTGTGGTTTGCTCCTTCTTTCCTATCAAACATCTATCGTCCTCGACTCCCTTTTTTCTTTTTTATATTTGATACTCTCTTGTAACACTTCTAATCTTCTGGCGCTCATATGACCTTATGCAGTTGCGAGCGCCGTAAAACCTCTACTAAAACTAAAGACATTAAAATTTGATAGTTGCACACATTATATCAGATAGATATGGCAAATTAATCAAATTATTTACCATTCTGCCACCAAACATTTCGGCATCACTGTCACTGTCACTTCCCTGAGCAGCTTCATTCTCTGCTGCTGCCCCGGCAAAACGAACGTTCCTCAGCGTGGTTTCTTTGTCCAGTCTGAGACGTTTGAACGAGGAATCCATCTCCATGTCTGTGTCCGGATCAGAGGTCAGAGCAGCTGCTCTGTGTTCCTCGTCGCTGCTGGTGATGCACAAAGTTTCAAAGTCTTCATCTCCCCCCTTCTGCTGCTGCAGCCATTTCTTCTTGAAGATCTGCAGCCAGCGACGATAGCGGTCCTCTCCTCCCTCACTCCCTTCACTGGGTTGAGAGTAGTGTCTGCAGAGGTAGCACTTGGTCCAGCAACGAAATTCCATAGGGACTGTATCCTGCAAGCACAGAAGAGTGAGATCGCCAAGGTTATGGACAACAATTTTAACTTAATGAATGAACAACATTAGATTTTATTACATAGTCGAAGAGGAAGTATACCTTCCATCGAAGAGGATAAATCAATGTATACAATAATTACAACTTAAACTTAAAACATGTTGACAATTTGAAAAATAATTTTTTTAAGTACATGTATAATGTATATTCCCATCCCTCCTACAGGGACATGATTCGACATACACACCAACCCCCCCCCTCCCCTCAAAAAAAATATAAACAAACAAACCAAAAAAAAAGCATACACATGTACCTTAATTAAACTCTCCCATCCCTCCTGCAGGTATAATCAACATGCACATAAAAAAAAACAACAAACAAACAAAACAAGCATACACCCCCCCAAAAAAAACAACACAAAAAAACAACCCAACAAACAAACAAAAACAGCTTACACACACGTACCTTAAACTCTCCCATCCCTCCTGCAGGGACGTTAACTTTGCTTGAGGCCACCTGTCCTCTCCACAGGTGCCATCTGGGCAGGAACTTGTTGAGCCACTTGCCGTAGTCCTCTGGGATGCCTTTGTCCTTGGCACCTTTGACCTCATCGCTCTCCGAGTCTGTGAGGTGAGCGGGTCGAGTGGTCGGGATCTGGTGCTCCAGTCTCCAGGTGAGAATAAACTGCTTGGCCCAGGTTCGAATGTGTTTGGGTACCTGGCTCTACAAGAAAAAGGAGAGAGATTGAAAATGTGAGTTTTTGATGGGATACCTTTTATTTAGTGAGGGAGGGCGAGCGTCTATTGTAACCTTGAAATATTCTTCTTGACAAAAAAGCTGAAGGCAATAGAAAATTGTCGCGATAGCAGCCATATTTCACAAGGCACAAATTAGGTAAATATACTTAGTAAGCAAGTTTATTCAAGGTTTAAGGCCACTGGCACGCATCACACCATATAAAACATTTGTTAAATAAAATTTCCATAATAAAAAAGTACAGAATGTGCACATAGATCTATATCTCTTATCATTATCATGGGTCAAATATTGCATATTTCTGTTACTCGGCCAAAAGGAATAGAGTAATAAGATTTATGAGTAACAGTAACATTGAAGAGAAGACCACAAAACAGCTTCCCTCACACCTCGAAATATAAGCTTTAAAATATTCTACAGTAAAATTTACTACTTGACTTCCTTCTGTATGGTTTTCTGTCTCCTAACCACTGGTCTTAACTTAATGGGAGAGTGTCATATTATTGCTTCATTCCTGTCCATTTGCTAAATGATACAAAGATATTTCCTGCATAATATTACAGATTTTCGTAAAGCGCACAGAGCATGCTGTCAATGCAATTGTTATCATTATTATTATTGTCATTATCATCATTATTTTTATTATTATCACTATGTACACTTACAGCCAAGTGGTGCAGTTTGCCACCCATCATGCCTTTCTTGCCGCACTTTCCTGGTCCACGTCTGCCCATGCCATTCCAGAATGGTCCAGGGTGACCTCTAGCCCCTGGGTGGCCTCTGCCCCATGGGTGGCCTCGGCGTCCCGGACTGCCACAACGAAACTCTGGGGCCATTCTCTTCCCGTAGCGCCTTGCCAGGTACCACCAGACCCATTTGCGAAATTCCACTGGCACAGACATCTGATGAAAAAGTGGCGGAGGGTGGGTTAATACACTTTTGCAAACTGTGAAAATCAGTATTTTTTATATTCCAAAAAATGTCAAAAAACTAAATCTGTAAATAAACCTGTATGTGAGTATACTGTTCTCTTAGTAAAGCTCATACAAACGCGTAGTGTGAACAGTATGTGATCACAAGTCTAATACGTTGGTACTTTATTCAATAAAAGATCTGAATAGTACGAGTACGTAAATCATGTTTTAGGTTTTTTTGTTTGTTTCCAGAAGAGTCTGCGATAAAATCTGCTGAGTGAGTATATAATAGGATAGCACTTTTTTGCATCTTTGATTTTTAGTTCGACTAATATAAAATAAATTCCTATGGACATATAATGGATTTACTTTTATCCTTACCAAAGGTCTAAAAAGAAGATCAAAAGCTAAACTTATGATATATGTGCCATTCTGTTGCTGCTGTATCGTGTGCATGCGTATGTATCTCAACAAATGACTTACCTTGATCGTTACCATGCTGTCTGCATCATCACCCTCAAAGTCCTTCGCACCATGCTCTGTGGAGACCTCCGTCTCCCAACGCTTATGGAACTTGGGCAGCACCATGTCAAGCCAGACAACATAAGCCTCTGGTACACCCGCTGCCTCCTTTGTCACGGTCTTCCCTTTTACGTCTTGCTCACTGTCGCTGGTAGTCGTGGTAAAGTTCTTGAGGTTTTGTTTGCGCCAATTGTGAATGTAAACCTTTGCCCAGCGGCGATGATTCACAGGTACTGATTCCTGAACAAGAAAAAGATGTAGATCAGTTGAGTTGTCTAATAAATTGTTGGTCTTTTTGTACTTATATTTGTAAGGCCCTTGCGACATAGTGAAATTTAACAAAAATGCAATTTCCACTCCTTGCAACTGAATTATTATGAAAACATCCTATAACATCTGATGATTCCACTAGACAAGTAATTTTGAAATATTCTTATTAACAAAAAATATTACTTTATTTGTTACTGTACGTTTAACACTGCACAGATGAGTTTGCTTTACTGCTTTACATTGAGCCTGAAAGCATGTTTCCCAAAAAAAAATTTTTTTTAAATAATATTTCAGACTTCAGAAATAATACGCTTTGTTTGTTTGTTCGAGTAGGGGTTTTACCGTACTATTCGTACTATTAATTCAGTTTTGGTCAAGAATGATACGTAAACGAGTCAAGTTGATCAAATACAAAACAACAACCTACCCTCAGAGCTCTCTTCCAGCCTCGTTTGTCACAGCCTTCCTCTTGCTGACCAGCACAAGGCCCTTGGTCCATCCCTCCCTGGCCAAAAAAACGACCAAAAGGCCAAACACGCATCTTAGGCATTTCCGTCCATTCGACAGGGTGAAACATAGGGTGGGGCCCAGGGAAAGGCCCGGGGTAGGGTCCGTGGTGGTGACCCCTGCCTCCCATCCATCCGCGGCGTCCACGTCTCCCATGCATCATCATGCCCGGGTGGAACGGAGGGGGTGGGGGAGGAGGTGGTGGGCCATCAGGGTGGGGGAAGTCAGGGTGGTCCACAGCTGTCCAAGACACAGCTCTGTCATGTCGACCCTGAGGAACCTCCGTCCCTTGGTCATTAGTAGGTCCCTCCTCTTCCTCCATCATTCCATCTCCATAGACAGATTGACCATCAGTAACTGGAGAAAAAAAAAAGTTGAGATTTTAATTTTATACCCAAGTTCTATATTCACAGCTAATGAGCAGGTCATTTAATAATCATAACGAAAACGCAGAAAAAAATTATTATTTGGAACTAAATTACCAAAATTTTAACAAAAATGAGTCTGTATGTATGTATGTATGTATGTATGTATGTATGTATGTATAGTATAGTATAAGGTTTTAGTTGCAGATTTTAGGAAAATATTTAAATTAAATTAAATACCATGCATTAGTCAACTTATATCTCTTGCTTGAAATCTTGAGAGAAGACAGGGCTTTATTTGCATATGTAAAGAAAGCACAAAAGTTGTACTGACACCCACTGAACCTGAATTTTCTTGAGATTTAATGTAGGCTACTAAAAGTTAGGGTAATTACTATGGTACTCAAAATGAGCGTTTGTTAAAAATAGCGT